AAAGTTGCTGATCGGAGCCAGAGGTACTGGAATGGTCCCTGTCACTCCAGCATTTGCACGCGTGGAACACACAGCACAGGCACACGCCTCATCCGAGGTCAGCCCACGCCTCCGGCATCTGTCTCATTCTCCCCAAGGTGTGCAAAACCTCTAACTTAAGTTTGCAACTTTTAGTTATTGTTGACTACTGTTTCCTCACCAAATTATGAACGAATTTGAAGGAGGCTGTCTTTCATTCATATAGCATATAAATGGGCTTTCAGTAAATGTCTAATGAATAAATGCATCTTTATTCTAAAGAGGAGGCAGCGGAGGCTTGAGGAGGTGAACAGATGAACTCAAGGCCACTGGCGAGGACAGAGCCAGACTGCGCATGGCATTCATAGATCCCAGATTGGGTCTCCAGCCCCTATCAGGGTGCCTCATAAAGGGTCACGGGAGCAATTATAACCACCATTCATTATTTTCATTATCCTCTAAAAGCAGTGTCTCACCTGGAGACAATCCCCGCTCAGGGGACATGTGGCAATGTTTAGAGACATTTTTGGTTGTCACATCTGGGCAAGGGGGTGCTACAGACATCCAGTGGATAGAAGCCAGGGCACAGGACAGCCCCTCGTGACAGAGAATTATCTGGTCCAGATATCGATAATGGCAGGGTCGAGAAACTCCCATCGAAGATCAGCATTGATACGTTATAATGAAAAGGGGATATTTCAGGGACAGCAAGAATGGGGCTGTTGGACGTGGGAAGCTATGCCCTCTTTCAAAGCAAATCTTGATGGGAGAGAGGAGCTCCGAGAGAAAGCTGACTGTGGCCGTGATTGAGAAGAGGGGTCTCCACTGCAGTGCGCCTGTGTGGTTTTCTTTGTCCCAGACAGGAGATTGTAGGTCATCAATGCTGCTAAATTCTGACTTGCACTTCGGTCTCTGCAGACTAAGTTCTGGATTCTTCCTAAGATTTTGTCTAGTAATTCCCCATTTCTATTAGCCTTCAAAAGCATTTTATTTGGGTTATGGGGGGGGGGGGGGGGACTTTGCCTTTAAGATAAAAGTAGTTGACATTAAAATTCTAGACTGCAACGGCATTAGTTGAAAGAAGTCTTTTTTTTTTTTTTAATTTTTTTTTCAACGTTTATTCATTTTTGTGACAGAGAGAGACAGAGCATGAACGGGGGAGGGGCAGAGAGAGAGGGAGACACAGAATCGGAAACAGGCTCCAGGCTCTGAGCCATCAGCCCAGAGCCTGACGCGGGGCTCGAACTCCCGGACCGCGAGATCGTGACCTGGCTGAAGTCGGACGCTCAACCGACTGCGCCACCCAGGCGCCCCTGAAAGAAGTCTTTAGAATACTTTCTGTTAGTTTGAAAGGAAGGTCTATTTAATCTCAAAGAATTTCTATGCAAGTAAGACCCTTATTCCACTTTTACCTGGATGGACAAAGATAGTTTGGAATTTTTATATCATTTCAAAAGCTTTAGAGATTTCACTAACTAGCTAAACCCAACTTGGGATGCTGTTATTTGGTTTCCCAATGAAGTATTGCTCTCATTAGAGTCTTTCTGTTTCTCTGAATAGGGTTGGAAGGTTATCATTATGGTCTTTTCACTGAAGCTTTAGGATAGAGATGGGGTTTCATGGAGTAAACAGTACAGGGATGTAAGGACTTTATATAACTCCACATATCGGTTTTCCGTGAAAACCTGCCTTGGCATAAAATTGCCCTTCTGTGTTTGAGCTTCATAGAAAGCAGTGTGTCATAAATATGCACTTTTTGTGTAACTGGAATGTAATTCAGTTTAAGTGGGAAACTCAAGAAAGCGACTAAGGAAGGACTCTTTCTGCCAAGACAGGTCACCCAATCTTGGCAACAGATGAAATAAAAATGGCTGAAGAGCCGCCTTCCTGATAGAATGCCACACTAGTCCTTAGCACTCTGGGTAAACGCCTCTTCTGAGTCCAAATCCCCCTTAATTTTCTGCCCCATGGGACACAACGCTGTCTTCTCTCTTCAAAAAGTGTCCAATTAGTTTATACGGAGCTAAACTTCAAAGCTACATTACTTCACTGATTATTCTCTCACTGTCTCCTTCAGTAAGTTCTCTTTTTCCATACTTCCATTTCCATAAGAATTTGGAAAACAGTGTCCAGTGTTCCTAATCCTGGGTCACCTCTCCTCACCGGCACTTGGCCACTGGGGATTAGGTCTTCCACACTTTCAGAAACGGTTCAGATAATGGCAACCTACGTGTAACAGACATGAAATGAGAGGGTCTCTGTCTCCAAATATTAAAAGGCTCAAAGAGGGGCGCCTGGGTGGCGCAGTCGGTTAAGCGTCCAACTTCAACCAGGTCACGATCTCGCGGTCCGTGAGTTC